TTATGAACAGATAGATAGAGAGAGAGAGATTAAGAAAGAGAGAAACAGACTGATAGATAGATCGATAGAGAGAGATATACATAGAGAAAGAGGACTAAACAGAGACTGATAGAGAGATACAAAAAGACTACTAGGTATGATCAGATAGATAGATGGAGAAAGTAAGAAAGAAAGAAACAGACTGATTGATCGATAGAGAGAGAGAGAGAGAGAGAGTAAGAGAACTAAACAGACAAATAGAAAGATACAAAAAGACGTCTAGGTATGAGAGAGAGAGAGTAAGAAAGAGAGAAACAGACTGATAGATAGATCGATAAAGAGAGAGATATATAGAGAAAGAGAACTAAACAGAGACAGATAAAGAGATACAAAAAGACTATTAGGTATGAACAGATAGATAGATATAGATAGATAGATAGATAGATAGATAGATAGATAGATAGATAGAAGGAGAAAGAAAGAGTAAGAAAGAGAGAAACGGACTGATATATAGATCGATAGAGAGAGGGAGAGAGAGAGAGAGAGAACGAAACAGAAACAGATAGATACTCACACTACACCTATGTCTATTAGGTCTCATTTAAATACGCATAGAGACCTAACGGACCCTATTCGTAACATACTTGTTGACAATACAAATATAAAAGCATCATTTACATTCAAAAAAGGCTAAAAATAATGGAATCCTTATTAATAAAAACAAAAAAAAACACTCAATAATATCAAGTAAGAATTACCATAATTTTAAGGAATTACCATTTTTAGATATACTCATTAGAAATAGAAACAACCCCATAATCACAGATATCTACCACGAACCTACAGACACCCAACAATATCTTTATTTCAAGAGTCACCAACCAAAAATCAGCCTAGAATCCATCCCCTATTCCCTATCACGTAGGGTTTGTATTATAGTGACTGATAAACATTTCCGAAAAACATGACTAGAAGAACGACATAGAAGTCTAAAAACGAGGTTACCCCACAACACTAATAAACAGAGGTTTAAGACTCGCAAAAAAAATACCTTTATACCAACAACGAAATCCTAAGAAACATACCGTCGAACAAACTCTGGCATATGTTTCAACATACAACAAGAAAAATCCAGAACTATTTACAGATATTACAAAAAATCTAGACCTACTTAACAAGAATGACAAACTGAAAAATATACTAAAATAAAACTAAAATAATTAAAAGCAAACGCCAATGTAAAAAATCTGAAACACATATTAACCTCATCCAAATATAATACAAGAACAAGAAAAAAAATGAAGATGGAAAATTTGTAGAAATTATGAAAAATAGAATTTATATGTTAAAATATATATCATATATATATATATATATATATATATATATATATATATATATATATATTTAAAATCACAATTACAAAAAAAAACGTTTGCCGGTTTCTTTTTAAATTTTTAAAATATACACCTTCTTCTCAAAAACAATTATAAAAAACAAAATATAATATATATATATATATATATATATATATATATATATATATATAAATTTTTGAATGTATATATTTTAAATATTTCCTTTATAAAAAAAATTCATTCATTCGAAATCTAGCAAATTCAACATTTGAAATTTGCAAGGTCTGATGAATTGGACCGTGATTAAACAATGCTAATAAAAAATGTTTTTTATACACCCAACCCAGTTCTGCGGAAGAAGAATCAACGTTGAGTTTAAAGCAAATGAATGAGCCAGTTGAGTAAAAGTTCCAAAGATTTAAATTTTTTCCCAACTTGTAAACGAATGCATCTATAAAAAGTTTTTTTTGCTAGCACGCTATATTAACATTATAATCAGTTAGTATGTTGGCTCTCATAATGGCCAATAGAATCTTCCTGATATAATGGCAGCCAGCTATTTTGCAATTCAAAATTTTAGAAAATGGCCACAATCTAAATGAAAAGTGCCATAGAAAAAAAAAAAATCAATTATTTCAACTATCGATGGGAGTTGGGAAATGCAAAGTCGCTCTTAAATTTTTTTCCTTTATTGGAGCATAAAAAATGTAAATTTGGTCAAGTTGCAAATACGTCGAAAATTGAAGGCCGTGCATTTTTACATACAACACACAAACATCCTGCCTTTTATCTCTCTCTCTATTATATATATATATATATATATATATATATATATATATATTATATAATAAAAAAGTGCGTATGTATGTGTGTGTGTGTTGTGTTTACTTTCCTTCTTTTTTAAATTTTTAAAAATTAATTTTTTCTCTCTCTCTTTTTACATCTTTTCTCTTTCTTTCTCTTTTCTTTCTCATTTCTTTCTCTTATTGCTTTGTCCTCCAAAACTTACGATAATCCTGTTTCGATTTGAATGTATTTTTATTTATATATTTCGCAGTTATTACGGATGCGTCTTATTTTGAGCCATATCTTTGAAAATTTTATGAATCAAAAGAAACCATCAAGAAATCCTTTAAAAAATTTTAAATTTTTTTTCCTAGAATAGCCACATGTCGTGGATATCAGTAAAAGGGAAAAACCTTCAGCCTCTGCAATCAGCATAAAACCTAGTTTATTTTTAATAGAACGGAGGTAGGCTTAAAGGGGCTCATCTTAAGAATTTTTCTAACCACCGAAATGGCGGAATATTTTCGCCAAAGATTATGCCAAATTTTATCAGAATTTTAAATGAACTTTTGCTTTGAAAAAACTTAGCATGGACGTATTCGATCTTACAGTCTATAGGAGAGTTTAGATGTAATTTCTGAGTGAGAAAATGCCTTTTCAAATTTATTCATGCACTTTTTTTAAATGGCGAAAGTGACTCTCCACAGATACCTTTATGGGCGGAATTTCCAATGACATTCTCCACGGTTGTAAATTCAGAGAGTTTTTTTTTCATTTCAGAACGTACGTGGTTATGGCTCTCCTCAGGTTCCTTTTCTTTATTATCTATGTATCAACATGCAGTATAATTTAATGCAGAGGGTCCTCGTTGCACTTTTCACGGTTTGGACTTCAGAGTTGCCCTCACTACCCAAGGGGAGATAGACTACTATTTTAACCCATTGGAGGAGAGAAGCGTTCATGCCTTTCGCAAATGTATTATTTCAAAGGTGGGCGCAACAGATTTATTTAAATTTGAAATATAACCGAATTCTGGAATGAAAAGAAATAATCGAAAAAAAAAAAAAATTAGGTATCTCAAAGACATTAAATAAATGATTATTCAGTCTCGCACTGTTTAGATAGATAGATAGATATATAGATAGATAGATAGATAGATAGATAGATAGATAGATAGATAATAGAAATATAGATAGATATATTTATGAAACAATTGGATTAGATAGATAGATGAATATATAATAGATAGATATGAACAGAAAGAAATGAATGTTGTTTATTCTAATCAGATTTAAAAATAGATAGATAGATTAAATAGATAGAGAAGAATGAACAGACAGATTAAGATAGCTATTGATATCTACAAAAAAGAACAGATAAATAGATAGATAGATAGATAGATAGATAGATAATATGAACAAAAAAAAAAAGGTATATAGATAGACAGACAGACAGATTCATTACTGAATATAAATCTTTAATACATCTTTTGAAATTATTTCCGTTCACCAAACATTAGAGCAATTAAGTATACATTAATAAAGTCTCTAATTCCTTCAAGTTTTTTTCAAACACAAATATTATTTTTCACATAAAATATATATATATATATATATATATATATATATATATAAAAAATTTTTATTCTCTCATGTTATTTGTTCTGCCTAGGGTTTTGGAGATGATTCCTATAATCATATATAATTTGAAACTAAATTACCCAGGGTACATAGATAAGTATTTTCCATTTTGATAAAAAGACATTCATAAATTGTTTGAAAAAATTTTATATATTAAATATTAAATTTCAAAAATTTTAAAAAGAGGATAACTAAAAGTTCAGGCAATGATATACACATGATAGAAATTATAAGGAGGATTTGATAATTCAATTTAAGTAATTCATCGAGTCTGACAGAAACTTCAACAGAATGCAGAAAGCACTGGACGGCCGTTTCGTCCTATATTTGGGACTCATTTCAACAGTGCGCATCCACTACCAAGAATTGAAACCGTAAACAATCAGGTTATCAGGCAAACATCATACCAATAAAACAATGGGCCTTTTGACGAAAAGGAATGCAAATCAGACTCAATATAGCATTTTCTCTTCACAGTTTGGTGGATTTCAACTGAGTTTCTCTCACACAAACCAATGGACTTTATTTAAAGGGAAGGAGCAGGATAAAACATACTATCATTTTTCATATCTCAAGAAAAAGAATATTTGAATAATGATATACACATGATAGAATCAATTATTGAAAAATTATATAAATTTTATTAAATTTTAATATTTAATAAAAAAAATAAGATTATTCTGATTGTCTATATATATATATATATAAAATTACGTTCGCATTGAATTCTAGTGCTAATAAAACAGTACTCGATATATAATAACAGATGTATAATTTATATTAATAATAAATATACATTTTTTTCGTCGCCTGCAGCATTTGAACTATTGCATTTTATCTGAAATTGTGATTCGCGCTACCGGTGAGGAAAATATATATTTATTATTATTATTATTATTATTTTCTTTGATTTCTGGCGTTTACACATTTCTTTCCGGGTCCCGCTCAGGGACCTAAGGTTAGAAATGGCATCATGACACTTTCCATTGACAAAAAAAAAAAAAAATTACATAGATAAAGCCCTCGTAAAAAGTGTGGGCTGTACTTGTCAGAACATTTTTTTGTATCTCTTTGAGGCATGGACTTCCAGGAATCCCTTCAATTAGTCTACTGCAATCTTTTTCCAACCAGTCCTAGGGCTCCAACTACAACAGGGATTGTTGATGTTCCCATATGCCACATTTTCGAGATTTCTATTTCAAGGTCCTTGTATTTTGACAGCTTTTGAATATCTTCAAAGATACATTGCAGTCAGCAGGGACTGCCATATCAATAAGGAGGACACTTTTTTTGTTTGTGGTCTTTAATAACAATATCTGGGCGGTTATTTTTGATTGTTCTGTCAGTGTGTATTGTATAGTCCCATAGAATTGTAAAATATTATTATTATTATTAAAATTATTATTATTATTTTATTATATTTCCATTTAAATTTTTTAAAATAATTTCAGTTAAAAAATTTATGAATTTAAAAATTCATAATTTTATATATTTAGAAATTAATTTATAATTTTATAATTTATAATTAATTTTAATTTTTATAATTATTAATTTCTGCAGTTGTTGATGGTTATTTAATTTCCGGTTCATCGTTACAAAAAAAATTTGTCATTATTTCCGCCCTTTTTTATGGATTCCATTTTTTTATGTAAGATTGACATTTAATTAGATAAAAAAGTCATGCAAATCAACTTCTATTTTTTCATTCTGATCTTATTCTGATCCCCACTTTAACTTATTTAAAAAAGGTAAAAATAGTTTTTTTTCAATTTTCTTAAAATCATTTAAATTTAATTATCGCGTAAAAAGTAGTTCAGTATGTATATTGAAAACATGAAATTTTTTTGTTGATATTGAAATTTCGATTTAATTTTTTTGTTCTATTCTCTTATAATAAAAATGTATTGCTCTACTTTTTTATTGAGTTCTTTTTTAATGTAAATGATATGAACAGTGGAATTTAACCATTTTTTTTATTCATTTATATATATATATATATGAAGAAAATATATACGGAAAAAGCAATGAAAAAATCCTTATATACAATTATGCTGTTTTTGTTAAATGTTAATATGTCAACGTCGGACGTTTCGGTCTAATAAACCATCTTCAGGACATATTCATAAATTATAACATTATCAATACAACATGACAAAGACGATGTACATAAAAAAAAAGACTTTATCCAAACAGATAACTGAAAGTTTTATTAGATCAGCGCTCCGTTTAAAACATGGTCACGTTGTCGTCACGTGGGCGACGCTGTGAAAACGTATTCCTAAAATTTGAAAATTTTGAATGAAAAATGAAAAGAATTCTATTTTGATCTAAAATTTATATGTACGCTTGTCGAGCATTAATCTCGCTAGAAAAGGGGAAATATTAAAAAAGCCAGGTCTAGTATTCACCGTGCGTGAGATGGAAAATTAATTTTTATTCATAAAGATTTGGGTAATTTTTTATTTGTTTATAAAAATATTTTAAAATCTTCATGGAATCAAAAATATTAAAAATTATCTGCTTTAGTTGTGTGTACAATTATAGCATTATTTAAATATATAGGCGAATTATATGTTTTTAGAATTCGAATTTTATATATATATATACACACACACACACACACACACACACACATATATATATATATATATATATATATATATATATATATATATATATATATTGAACAATAAGAAAATAAAAAAATAAAATCTTTTAGACAAATAAAAATTGTAGATTAATATTCTTTCGTTTTTTTTTATTATTATTCCATTTAGATGAATCGACTAGTAAAATACTAAAAATGGAAATCCATCATTTTTGGGACAAAATTTTTTTTTGCTACAATGTAGCAGTGAAAACTACAAAAAAAAAAATATATATTAAGACATATTTTATGTTTTTACGATTTTTTTTTAAATACAAATATTTAAGTAAATGCTCTGTTTATAATAAACAGTATTAACCTGTACAACCCTATCGAACCGTCATGGTATAGCCCGACGTTTTTTACTTTGATTGATTACAGAGGAACGTTTCAGTTTCAGGAACGATTTATACTGTTTTAAACTACAATTCTTCATTTTTTCTATTTCGTAAAATCATATCTGCTCGATATCTTATCCAAAAATGTAAACAAATATTTTCACACATTATGAAATTTTTATAAGAAAATTTTTTAAGACATTCATTATTTTATATATATATATATATATATATATATATATATATATATATATATATATATAGAGAGAGAGAGATTATTAGAATATGATAAGATGTCTTCAGAAAGAAATTTTCAAAAAATTTATCCCCAAAAATAAAACACAGATTTTAATTTAATAAATATATTTTACTCTACCTAAAGGAACCTTTCAACCAACCCCTGTTCCAAAGGTGAACGTTGGCAAAAAAAAAAAACAATCAAGGACAATCCAAATAATTAAAAGAAAAGGAGGAAAGTTGAAATGCGTTCAACCTTTATATTAAATAATATATATATATATATATATATATATATATATATATATATATATATATATAGAAAAAGACATTTAACGATTCAACGTTGGGCCAATTTCTATATTTGTATATTTTTTATGTTTGTATATTTCTTATTTCCTATAATTTTTTTCAAAATTTTGTAATTATTTTATTTTGGTGTATGTCCTTATTTTCTAATAATCTTGTATACCATTTTGTATAAAATTTATAAAATTGTAAATTTGATAAATTATTAAATTATAATTTATAAACATTGTAAATTTATAATTTTTTTTACACTAATATATAATTTATAAATATATAAATTCATAAAATTTTGTAAATAATTTTCATAAGTTCACATAAAAGTTTTTCATATACTATAATTAGGATACCTTTATGTAACATATATTTTATATTTATTTATTTATATGTTTTGTTTATTTATAATTTATATATATATATATATATATATATATATATATATATATATATATAAATAATATTTTTGTATATTATATATTAATTTCGTATTTCAAATAACAAAAGAAATTTTTGGTATCGAAATAATTTAAAATTTATCAGATTTTGAATAGGGCATTTTAGTTTCAATGTTGTAGGTAGCTTAACATGTTTAAAATTTTTTATAAATATGCATTTTCGAAATAAAAACTATTTTTTATATGTACAAACGATACACATACATGCATAATGCAATAAATACACACATATGCAATGCAAACAATTTAATGCAACACTATGAATAAACCAGATCATGAGCTCTATAAAATAAAAAAGAATGAAATATAGATTATTCATTCTCACAGACCTTAATCCCAAAAAAGTGGCGTATATAGTACCGTAAAATCATGAAAATGAAAAATCGATATATATATATATATATATATATATATATATATATATATATATATATAATATAAATTTCATCGAAACTATTTTTAAAAAATACAATTTAATCGAGCACTATTTTTAAAAATAAAATATCTATAAGAACACCGGATTGATATATATCTTACTGTTTTTCTTTATTTTTATATATATATATATATATATATATATATATATATATTTATAATATATATATATATATATATTAAAAATTAACTGATTTAAAATATGGTTTTAAACTGGCTACACAGTAATATAAATGTTTCAAAATGGAATTAAAAGAAAATTCAAATTTAATTTTGTAATTAAATTAAAAACATTAGTTCCATTTCATCCTCAAGCGAATTTTGGAATAACTTATTTTTTTAAATTTACTGAGTTTTAAAACCACAGAAAAATCATAATTCAACTGTTTCCAAGGATACAGAGAGATCCAATCATTCGCAGACAAGGTGTGGTAGCGTGTTCATTTTTATTAAATTTTGTTGTATCAGTTATTGATTACGTTCGATAAAGGGGTTTCTCCATTAGATTCTCCATTCTGTTGAGTTCTCTTCTAGACTCGATGAATTACTTAATTATAATTATCTCAAATCCTCATAACAATTTCTATCACTTGTATATCCTTGCTTGAACCGGCTTGTAAAGCTCTGGATGGAGCAGCTTGGGGATACAAATATTGAAAAGAAAAAAGTCCGTTGGGATAAAAATAAACTTGAATGACTTACACGACGGAATTTTGGAAGAACGGATATATATATATATAGTTTGGTCTTAGTTGACCCTTCGTCACCGAGACTCGTTGGTAAAGTTTAAAGACCAGGTTCGATTCTCTAGAGGAGTCTAAAAATAGTACTAATGATTTTATTTTCTGTTGAGGATTCTTCTAGAAATGTTATAACAATTTAAATTCCTAACAATTTCTATCATTATATATCTATATATATATATATATTTCATATATCCAATATATATATATATATATATATATATATATATATATATATATATAAATAGTATTATATGTTATATTTATGGGATAAAAGTACTCAATATCATCAAATAGGGCGTATGTAAATATAAATATAAATTTAATATTGGTTCAACACTCAGATTTGGCCTGAAATTGCGTCTAGCATGAAACAGCCTGTCGCCTCTGAGGGATTTAATATATTTTTTATTTATATAAATATATATATATATATATAATATATATATATATATAATATATATATATATAATTATTATATACGGATTTATATCTATATTTTTTGTGTATAAATGTGTATAAAAATACATATATATGTCAAAACAAATATGTGTATATATATGTTTTTATATATGTGCATATATATTGTATAAAATGACACATGTATATATATAACCTTATATATTATAAAAAAATCTTTTAAAAACCAGATTATAATAAAGTATTGTTATAAATTATTCTTGTCGAAAAGAATCATTGCTACATAAAAACATGTATATATTTATATATATATATATATATATATATATATATATATATAGGAATTATATAGGATATATATATATGAAATTGTAAGGTAAAGAAATATAATTTAATGAGAAATTCTGTTTTTAAAAAAAGTTTTTATTCTCTAATTTCCGACTAAGTTAAAAAAAAAAAGGAAAGCAAACTCGTTGGATAATATTTAACAAGGCGGTATCATTTCCTTGTGGATTTGGTCCTCACTGGGTACCCCTATACGTGTGGCCCTGTAACAAAAGTAAATTTCAAATAAATATAGACAGTAAATTCGATAGATGAGAATAAAATAAAACTGATGGATTTCTAAACACGATACAACTAACTTGAACGTAAAATATTTCATCGGAGGAAAGTGAGGTTTGCATGTAGACTTTTTGTTCTTTTTAACCTGTTGTCAGAAATTGTATTTTAATTCTTATTGTTCAAGTTTCCTGATTTCCCTCGATGTGCTGATCGTCTGTCTGAGTTAATGGAAGGGAAGATGAGAGGACACAATCAGAAAAAAAAAAAGATTGTAATGCTGTTTCTTTTTTGGTTTAAGACAGAGACCGAACGTCGCTTACAAACCTCGACTGATTACATCGCAATGGGAGGAAACTGATCGGTAAAGGAGAAAACAGGTCGAAGCAATGACGAGTAAAATCTGGCCATCCGCTTCCTGTCAGCCTTTACGCATGCGCTAGAGCATTTCGCCATTTTTTTTTTTTTTTTTTTTGGACTCTTTTTCGTTTCTTTCATGGTATCTATCATTTTGAACGTCCGGTCGCAATTGTGAGAGAAAGAAAACCAAGTGGACAGGATTAGACATCGGAACTGAGTAAAATAAAATAAGAATAAAGTTATATACTATATAAGATGGACGTTTTTAAGGCGCGTGAGAACGAAAAGAAATCCCCCCACCTTTTTTTTTTTTTTTTTGTCCGGTTTTGGCAAGGTTAGGGTTAGAGCACGAAATGATGTGTGACTGTTTTCGAAGAGCTTTTAAATGTAGACAGGAAATCAAGTTTAAGTTCAAACAGCGATCGAATGAAGAAGAGGTTTAAATGACGGGAAAGAAGCCAAGCAGGCGTCTGGTGAATTAAGGCGCTGGGAGAATGTCCAGCGATGTAGAAAATGGAAGGTGAGACGAGAGAAGAGAAGTCGTTGTTAGATGATGCGGGATCAGATCAAAACAAATTCAATGAGATGACACGAAAAAGTGAAAGAAACACTTGTAAAATGGATTGCAAGTGGATTAGATATGCTGTATCCGACATTTTTTCCTTCGTTCACTTGTTCATTCAGGTTCTCATTCGGTTAACATATTTTCACTCATTGTTCTTGTCTTTTTTTGATACGCTGTTTTCTCTTGTTATTATTATTAATTATTATTATTTTTAATTATTATTATTTTCATTATTATTATTGTTGTTGTTACGTTTAATCTTCTTCATATTTAGAACAAAGTTTTCTGTATTTAAATATTTTTCCATTGAGAACTTCGAAATGACGACTAGACATTTTTCACTTTTGTTTAGTTTCTTTCGTCCTTCCATCCTTTAATCCTTCTTTCTTTATTCCTTTCTTTCTTTCTTTCTTTCTACACTTATTTTCCTTTCCGTTATTTCTGTAATCTTATCTCTCCCTTAATTTTAAAAATCTTTCTTTCTTTGTTTCTTTGGAGTTTTTTTTACGTATTCTTTCTTTCTTTCTTTCTTTCTTTCTTTTAGACTGTGTTTTTTAATATCTTTCTTTCGATATTCTTTCTTTATTTATTTCTATCTTTCTTTATTTCTTTCTTTCTTTCTCAAGTCATTTTTGTTTTCGTTAATTCTGAAATCTTTTCTCTCCATTTTTTTTAAATTCTTTCTTTCTTTGGGTTTTTTTGTTCACGTATTCTTTCTTTCTTTCTTTCTTTCTGAAGTCATTTTTCTTTCTGTATTTAAATATTTTTCCATTGAGAACTTTGAAATGACAACTAGACATTTTTCACTTTTGTTTAGTTTCTTTCGTCCTTCCATTCTTTCTTTCTTTCTTTCTTTCTTTCTTTCTTTCTTTCTTCCTTTCTTTCTTTCTTTCTTTCTTTCTACACTTATTTTCTTTTCCGTTATTTCTGTAATCTTATCTCTCTTTTTTTTAAAGTCTATATTTCTTTGTTTCTTTGGAGTTTTTTATGTATTCTTTCTTTCTTTCTTTCTTTTTTTTTCTTTCTTTCTTTCTTTCTTTCTGCACTTATTTTCCTTTCCGTTATTTCTGCAATCTTTTCACTCCATTTTTTTTTTAATTCTTTCTTTGGGTTTTTTTTTTACGTATTCTTTCTTTCTTTATTTCTTTCTTTCCTTCTTTCTTTCTTTCTCAAGTCATTTTTCTTTTCGTTATTTCTGCAATCTTTTCTCTCCATTTTTTAAAAATTCTTTCTTTCTTTATTTCTTTGGGTTTTTTTCGTTACTTATCTTTCTTTCTTTCTTTCTTCAGTCATTTTTCTTTTCGTTATTTCTGCAATCTTTCCTCTAAATTTTTTTAAGTTCTTCCTTTTACTTTTTTCATTTTGTCTTCAATTATTGTTTTGCTTTCGTTTTTCTTTTCCGTTTTTGCCTTTGTTTTTTTCTTTTATTTTCTCTTTTCTTTCGATCATTTTTTATTCTTTCATTTTGTTTCATTCTTCCAATTCTTGTGTTTCTTTATTTTTTCTTTTGCGTTATAATCTTTCTTCTTTTTTTCTTTTTTATGTTTCTTTTCTTTGTATAATTTTTTTTATTCTTTCATCTTTTTTCTTCTTCAATTTATTATCTCTTTCTTTTTTATTCCCATTATACTTTTTTCTTTCCTTTTTTCTTTTTTTCTTTCTTTGTATATATTTGTTATCTTTTCATTTTATTTTCTTCTTCCAATTTTTATATTTCTTTCTTTTTTCTTTTGCGTAATAATTTTTCTTCTTTTTTTTCTTTTTTCTGTTTTTCTTTTTACATTTTTCTCCATTCTTTAATTTCTTTTTATTCTTCAAATTTTTGCTTTGTTTTCTTTTTTTCCATTATACTTTCTCTTCCTTCTTTCTTTTTCTTCGAATTTTCTTTTTTTCTTTGTAATTTTTTTTATTCATTCATTTTTTAAAAAATGTTCAATTTTTTTAAATTTCCTATTTTTAATTTTTCCGTTATATTTTTTTTTTACAATTTTTTTTATTTTTATTCTTTCTTTTCGTCTCATAAGATTTTATTCTTTCATCATCTTTGCTCTTTCAATTTATCATCACTTTCTTTTTTGTTTCTCGTTATACTTTTTCTTTCTTTCTTTCTTTCTTTCTTTCTTTTTTCTGCCTTTCTTCTTGCTTTATATAAAATTTTTATTCTTTAGTTTTGTTTTTTATTTCAATTTTTGTTTTTCTTTCTTTTTTTTCCTTTATAGTTTTTCGTCTTTCTTTCTTTTTTCTTCTTTTTTTGTATATTTTTTCTTCTTTTATTTCCTTTTCTTCTCTCAATTTTTGTATTTCTTTTGCGTCATACGTTTTCTTCATCTTTCTTTCTTTTTCTTCTGTTTTTATTTGTATAATGTCTTTTATTCTTTCATTTTCTTTTTTACCATATTTTGTTCTTTATTCTTTTCCGTTATATTTTTCTTCTTTCTGTCTTTTCTGTTTATTTTTTCTTTGTATAAATTTACATAATCATTTTTTCTTCCAATTTTTGTTTTCTTTTTCTTTTTTTCTATTTGTTATACTTTTTCTTTCTTTCTTTTTTCTTCTGATTTTCTTCATTTGTATAATTTTTTCTTTCATTTTCTTTTCTTCTTCCTATTTTTGGTTTTCTTTTTCTGTTCTTTTCTGTAATACTCTTCTATTTTTCCTTCTGGTTTTCTTTCTTTTTTCATTTTTCTCTCATTATTTCTATTTTTCTTTCTTTTTATCTTCTGTTTTTTTCTTTGTAAAAAGTTTGTATTATTTCCTTTTCTTTACGTCTTCCATATTTTGCTTTTCTTTTTCCTTTTAGTCTATTTTTCTTCTTTCTTTCTTTTTATATTTTTTTTTATTTTTGTTATTCTTTCTGTTTTCTATTTTCCTTTCTTATTCTTTTCTTTCTTTTTTAATTTTATTCTTTTATTTTTTTATTACATTTTTCAATATTTTTTTCTTTCTTATTTCATATTTTTTTCTTATTTTTCTTTCTCTTTTATTTTCATTTTTCTTCCTATTTTCTTCTTTTTATTACTCTCTTTCTTTTGGTTGTTGCTTTTCTTTCTTTCTTTTTATCTGATTTTCTTCCGATCTTTCATTCTAACTTCCTCCTCGTCTTGCTTCCTTCCTTTTAATTTCGACTTCCTTTTTTTTTTTCTTTTACTTTTCTTTATTATTCGTATTCTTTCTCTTTTTTTTATTTTTTCTTATTCAGTCCTTTTTTTTTTTTTTTCGGAGATTTTTTTCCTCATTTTTCGTTCTTTTATTTCGCAATTTTCTTTTCCTTCTGTCATTATTTCAATATTTTCCAATCTTTTTTTTCTTCCTTTGTTTTTCTATCTTCAGATTCTCTTGTTTTCATTTTCTCTGTTTCCTTCTTTTTCTCTTTCTTTCTTTCTTTCTTTATTTATTTATTCATTCATTCACTCAATCGTCTCTTTCCTTTTTTTTCCGCATTTACACAATAGTCTCTTCTATATTTCTTGATTTTTATATTTCTTTTCTATTTTTCTTTAAATTTCTTATTTTTCTTTCTTTCTATACAAAATTTATTTATTCATTCATTCAATCAATCGTTTTCTTTTTTTTCAATGCATTTACAAATAGTCTCTTCTATCATTTCATTTTCTTTTTTTCTCCATTTATTTCTATTTTTTTTTCAAAATTAAATTTTTCTTTCTTTTATATTTTATTTATTTATTTTTCTTTTCTTTCGAACCAGTTTTATCTCATTCTTTCTTTCTGTCTTTTTCCTATTTCATTCACTCTTTCATTCTTGCTTTTTTTTTTTTTCGTTCTTATTATTTTTGTTCAGTTTGTATTTTCAGGATTTTATTCTTGCTTAAATCTTTTTTTCTTATCCTTCCTGTCTTTCAGGATTTTTTTTTCCTTTTTCGTTCTTCTTTCAATTTTTAATGTAAATTTTATGGATTCCTCGTATAAATATCTCTCTCTTTTTTTTCTCTCTTTCTATCTTCTTATTAAATTATAATCTAATTATTAAATTTATCTATATTCATCTATCTATCTTTCTATCTATTTATATCTTTTTTATCTTAAATTTGAATTATCTTTCATTCTCAAAAATCTTATAATTTTTCTCTCCTTTCCGAATCTAATTTTTTAAATTAACTCTTTTGATATGTTTTTCCGAGAATCAACGAAACACATGTTCGAGTCCTGTCAATTGCACTATATAAAATATGTAGATATGCTCAAACACATGCAAACAAATACTAGCAGCCATAATTAGCTGGTCGAAAAAAAAATCGTTCCATTAGAATGGAGCAAATACAACATCATGTTTAGATGTAACAGATTCTATTTCAATCTTCAATTCTTCAAAGTCTTTAATATAAAAAAACGTTTTGAATTAATGCATTTTACTGATATGACAGAAGTCGTCTGTATTTATTCAATCAAAGTTTTTTGACGACATGATTTTAAAGCAACAACATGAAGACCCAAATAAGATAAATAAAAATTTTTTTGGGGTTATAAAAATTTTTTTATATAATTTTATATATTTTATATGAGAAAAACAGAAACATATATTCGAGGTTTTATCAAATGCACTATATAAAATATGTAGATTAAAAATTCAAACACATGCATTACAAATACTAGCAGCCATACCCAGCTGGTCGATCAAAAAGCGTTCGTTCAATTAGAATGGAAAAAAAAACAGCATCATGTTTAGATGTAACAGAGTCTATCTTCTTCAATTACTTTAAAAACTACTTTCAAAAAAAAACATTTTGAATTAATGCAGTTACTGATATAACAGAAGTAGTCTGTATTTATTCAATCGAAGTTAGCATTGAGGACATGAAGGGTAAAAACAGGCAACATGAAGACCAACTTCAGACCAAAATTATTTTGGAGTTTTGAAATTCAATTTGTCAGTGTGCTACCAGGGATGTAAAAGGGGATACATTTATAAAGCAATTGTTAAGTTTGATGAAAATTGGTTGAAAGATCAACGAAAAATAAGAAAGAAACCAGTAAAAATCGCCATTTTTTCGCTATTTACGCGGGTTTTCACTATATGGGTGGACTCAATTATCAAGTTAAATGATTGTTAAACAATCAACTTATTGTTGGCTACAATTGAGTGAAATTTGTATTAGATTGCTTGAAAATTGAGGGAGTTTTAGTTTAAAATTTTGTTGAAATAAAATTTGTGTTGAAATAGATTTTTTTTTTTTCGCGGTTTTTCGCTAAACGCAGTGGCGTAGAAAAAAAATGAGGTATCGTTGAGCTCGTCATGATGTAAGTAACCTACATACCGAGTTTGAACGAAATCAGAGGAAAAAAGTTGAATTTATCGATTTTTGATCGGCTTTATCGATTATTGATTTTTTTTAAAATTATCGATTTTTTACGCTAAGAACCTATCTCTTACATTGTACAAATATGTAAAAAAATGGTTTGAAAAAATCGTTGGATGGATCTCGAGTGAAAAAAGACAGACAGACAGACAGACACATTTTTTATTTTATATAGAGATATTTATATTATATATTATATATTATTTATGTTTTATAAAATTCAATATCATATGATATAAAAAATATTAATTTAATTATCATAGTGAAGCTAATGATCTTGATCCACAAAATCAGACAAAGTTTCAATTGCAAACAAAATTCAAAATTACAATTTCAAAATTGTAAAATTTTGCTACATGCCTAATATTTATATTTATATATCTATATATATATATTTTTTTATAATGTGTGTGTATACTAAACATTAAATCTGTTGTGAAAAAAAGAACTAAACAAAATGAAAAAAAACGATAATTTAAAATTTTTTATCTTCAAGAATATTAAAAAAACCGAATTATGTAAAAAAGAAAATTAACAATAATAAAATTACTTTTAAAACTTATTTATTTCTGCGGATTTAGAATCAACGTTGGTTTTTGAATTCGAATGAGACAACTTAAAAATCCTAAAAAAATGCAAATTTAAAATTTTTCCATTTATGTATAAATGCAAATTGAATTTATTTTTTTTTATTTTGGAAATTTTGGATTTTCATTTAAAAAAATAATTTTGATATTTAAAAAATCATAAATTAGTTGCAGAATTTTTTGGTTAAAACGAAATGGCAAGCCAGAATTTTTAAATTTTAAAAAAAAAGAAATTAAAAAAGCAAATTTAATGAAAAAAATATTGAAAATTTAAATTATAAATGAATATAAAATTTTTTTTTAAAATGCACTACGGAATTCATCCTGAAAAAGATAACTTAAAAATGTAAATAGAAAAAATTGAAAAGTATTTGAAAAAAATAAATACCATTTCAACCACGGAACTAAAAATTTTGACATTGTTTT